TGAAAATGAATTTGAATTTTTTCAAGTGCATTCCTCCCCTCCATTCAATTTAACAACCATAGTTTGCATTTCATAACATGACCCAATCTTGGGTCAATAATTTCACCTACTGACTCTTGAAATCAAGGCAAAAGAAAAAAAAAAAAAAGACAATGTTTTATAACTGAAGAGCCCACTGAAACATAATTCATAAATCTAATGCTTCTCAGTTAAATATAAAAATGCTCACCTAAAAGGATTCAGTTTAAAGCAAATAGGGTAACAATTAGGGCATCTGGCTCTAGCCCGCAGAAGCAAATTTGGCCTCCTGGTTTCAGGGAGAAGGTTAAGTTGGATTTCAAAGTTACCTTCTACTTTCCGGTGAGCTTTGTCCTCCCATCTGGTGACTGCTTATCCTAGCAGCTTCCTCAATGTCAGCATGTCATTTTCTCTTCTCCGTGCCTCTCGTACTCAACCATAAACATTGTGTGTCCTGGGTCTCATTCTGTCAACTGGATGAAATGTTAACCCCATGGTAAAGAACAGTGGACGAACTTTACTGTCTAGTACATCTGTTCCAAGCTTTCAGTGTCAATACATTGTTGGACCACAACCAACTGTGAGGTTTATTATAATTAATTTAACACCTATACAAGACTCCTCTACTTAAAGACTTTTCAACTTCAGACTCTTATAGACATAAATAAAATTTTGCTATAAAATTGTCAACTTTTCTTTGCTCGACAAATGATAATACAGGAGGGATCCTGTGGATAGGTGTTGATGGGGGATCAGGATATGCCACCCCAAAATATGCCATTTTGACATAAGGATTACTTTGAGTTGAAGGCAATTGAGAACCAACAGATGCAGAAAGAGTTCTCTGCCCTCCCTGCTATCTGCCTAAAAGCAGAACATAAATTTCCCTTTGTGAAGGTGACCCCATTTTACCAGGAAGAGGAGTGACTGTCACCTGGGATAGAGAGTCAACACCAAGGTGAGTTTGTACAAACAGACCTTACTAAAATAACTCTTATCTCCCATCAGCTGCCTGGTGTATTTCTAGTCCCTTGCCTATAATTTATTGTCCTTTGAAGTCCCAACTTTCCTTCCTTTGTTAAAATGGTGTATAAGCTGCCAAGTCTAACCATTTTTTTGACTGTCACTTTTCTTTCTTTTTTTTTTTAAGATTTTATTTATTTATTTAAAGAGAGAATGTGTGTGTGAGTTGCTGGGAGGGGCAGAGGGAGAGAGAGATTCTACAGCAGACTCCCCACTGAGTGGGAAGCCCAATGCAGGGCTCCATCTCACAACACTGAGATCATGATCTGAGCCAAAATCAAGAGTCAGATGCTTAAATGACTGAGCCACCCAGGTGCCCCTTGACTGTCACTTTTCTATGAACTCCTATGCATGTAACTATTAAAAATTCTGTGCCTTTTCTCCTCTTGATCTATCTTTTGGTAAATTCACAGACCCCCAAGACTGAATGTAAGAGATAGAGGAAGAGATTTTCCTCTCCAACAGTGGACAGAAGTTAAGTTTCAATACTGTGTGCCTAAGGTTCATACAGAAGAAGGTCAGGAGTATGTCTGAGACTATAAATCCTTTACATAGTAAAGTTACCGCTGATGGGAATTTTTCTGGGGACCGTAGATGTTGGTTCATACTCAAGACAATTTGCATCTGCACATCCTCAAGGTCAATGGTAAGAAGGAAAATGAAGATACCCAATGGAGTTTATGAAGTTCATTAGTGACATCTGTGGCACCCACTGCTTGTCAACCTGCAATATCTATTTTCCTCTTTTTTATTCATAACTTGAATTTCTTATTAATAATGATTTTTTAAATTTATAACCCTTACTTCTTTATCAGCTCTGATTTCATTCAGAATAGCAGTGATGAACAGTTTAGGCCAATTAAAAGAACTTTCCACCTTACACTTCCCCGAAACTAGACGATTATGTGGCCCGGGTGTGTCTAGTGAGGGGCGGTCTCCCAGTAGAGATTTTGAGAACAATGTTGTTTTCCTGTCAAAAGGGACAGACTCAGCCTGTATGAATCTTTTGCTGCTTATTCTTCTCTGTTCCTCTTGCTGGAATACAGATGCGGTGTCTGAAGTATAGCAGTCATTTTACAGTCATGAAGTTAAAAGACATAGGCTAAGAATGGCAGACCAGGAGAGAGAAGGAGCCTAGCTTTGGATGACTTCCTAAAACAACTGCCCCAATTATGGACTGCCCACCCCTAGAGTTCTGGTCATGTGAGAAAACTCTGTTTAAGCCACATTTGAGGTTTCAGTTGTATGAAGCCATCCCAATTCTAAGTGACACAAAATGCTCCAACAGATGTTAATATTGATAAAAAGTGGTCTATTGGGGTGGGGGTGGTGGTGGAAATGCTTAAAAGATTTTATTTTAAAACTTTGAGGACTAACTCAGACTTCTATACAGGAGAGTGTATTGGTTGAGCAAGTTAAATTTCTCTCTGCAACTATAGATTCACAAAAAGAGATGTATAAAAGGACTTACACACAGACATTTTGGCTATCCGCTTTCTTTGCCAAGGAACTAGTATTAGTAAATTATTTCTCTTTATGTAAGTTAAAATGCACTGAATATTATTCCTACAACAATGCCTCCTTCCCTCACTTGTCCGTTGAAGCTCCCTACTTGTGATAGAAGGGTGGACCTCTAGTAATCCTGAAATCAGACACAGCCCTGGACACACCCTGGGAGTTTGTCCTCTGTGAGAATCTCCTCTGCTCTATTTGTCCAGGGAACTCTTTAAAAACTGCTGGAATAACACATGTACCTGTGATTAGTTTTCTAAATTAACACACTGATTTTAATGATCCTTTCTGAAAATGCAAAATCTTAACCCAACAGAATCCTGTATGAGAATGAGAAGGTGGGTATTTGGAGAATTGGAGCCTTTCAGCATTCCTCTAAATTGGTTCCACATTCATGGGTAAGCCTCTTCTAGAACAGGAATGCTAAATGGAGGAAAGTTGGTGGAAAAGCTAAAAGGAGAGAAGAAAGGCGTGGCCTCCATCACAGTACTTTGCCTATGCCTCTCAGTAGGTCTGTTTGCACAACAATCATTCCATGGGGTTCCTTCCACCAGATAAAGATTCCATCATTAGGTTTGTGATTTGCAAAACTCCCTTGCTGCCTTACTCTCACTGGAAGGGACCAAATGAATCAATCAGCATCACTTTCCCAAGGCTCTGTTTGCAATCAAAAGGGCCAAAGGTTTTCTTGTTTATAATTAGCAAAACATCCTGCTAGAACTAGATCCACATGAAGACTTGCCAGCATCACACATCCTCATCCCAACATCCAGCTCATAAAGAATATGCACTGTTTGTGTTGTATAGAGTGGTGCTCAGCAGCTGCTTAATAGCACAACAACTGTACACAGGACTGAAGAGCAAAGGCAAATACCAGATTTGATTGAACCCGCAGGGAAAATTTCAGGTGGCATAATGTAATTGCCTGAGTTAGGATATTGAGATTAAATAACACCTATGCGCTCTTATCTAAAAGTGTCTAGGATCTCTACCAGCCATAAATGACTTGGATCTTAGTTTTATAAACCGGTAGTGGAAAGGGAGGCAATTCTCCGGCAGCACAGCAGTCTCTTGTTGGAAACCCTGTTTCTCATCCGGCACCACCTGTGTGTCCCCTTGGCCACCCCCCAGCACAAGGCACCAATGTAGCCAAACCCACTGAGCCTGTGAGAGTGGCCAGAAATACAGCAGAAGGTGTTGGCTTCCTGGCCTCTCGTTGAGGCCATCTGGACTCTCTAACACCTGTTTGGGAGGGTTTCCGTAGCTTGGTTTACAAATGTAAGTGCAGCTCAAAATGTTCCAGTCCAGTGCTGATCATTCGCCTTTACTTTTTGGGATGTTAATTATGCAACAAGATCATTTCTGTGCCCACTTTTCTCCTCCGTTATAAACTTTAGATGGCAAAAATGTACTGCTCAGTATTTTTTTTAGTGGAATGAACAGATGTAAAAGTGTTTTCAATTCCTTAATAAAGGTGACATTAGGCCAGATTTGATATTACACTAAGTCCCACATAACATTTAAAAATGAGTTTTTTCAACCATAAAATTACTAATTGATCTGTCTTGTAAAAAGATAAAGGAAATGAATGCCTATTTGAGTTTCATTTCTGTCAGGCTCCCTATTCCTTATTTTATGTAGCACAAAATGAATTTTAATGAAGCAGCCTCCAAATTTCAAAATATGCCATTACCCTTCTGAAGTAATTGGCATATTTGACTGCCTTTTCCTTTCTTAGAGTCTGTCTGACTTTCTAATCTTAAAGCCAATGTTCCATTCAACATGTTCTTCTGCATGCCATCTGAAAGAAGTAAATTAAAACCAGAGGAGGGACTATACCAGAAAGAATTCATTCACTGAACCACTCAACAAATATTTACGGAATTCCTGCTGTAGGTCAGGCACTGTTCCAGGTGCTGCAGAGAGAGTGGGGCATAAGCGAAAATTCCTGCTTTCATGGAGTTTCCATGTCAGTGGAGTGAGAGAGTATAATAGACACACAAATATGTAATATTCAGGTGATTTGCACTATGAAGAAAAATAATGAATATTAATGTGTAGAAAGGGACAAGATGGAGAGTCTATATGTGCTGCTTTATTATAGAGGGGAACCCAGATGAACCTCTTTAGGAAAATGGCATTTGAGCAGAGACCCAAATGAAGTAAAGGTTGAGCTATTCTGGCAATGAGAATCAGCAGATAGAGTAGGCTTTCTAATTCCTTTCATATTTTTGCCTACTTATGTACATATAAAACACTTCTGGTTGCTTTGTCTAATCTGGGAGGCTACAGAGGGATGATGAGAAAGGCAACTTTGAGTAACTACTTGTACCACAATATGTATATTTCCATTTTGTGAATCTGTATGACAATCCTCTGGCCTGATAATCTGATCCTCACTTTACAGCTAGGGAAACAAAGGCTCAGGGACATCGGGTAGCTTGGTATATGAATGTTCCAGTTATTTATTGCTGTATTACAAACTCCTAAATTTTGTGGCTTAAAATAACAACAGTTCTTTATTTTGCTCATGCAATCTGAGCAAGACTCAAAAGGAAAGGCTTGTGTTTGCCCCATATGGCATCATTTGGGGAGCACAATTTAGGGTTAGGGATCCATATCCAAGATGGCTCATTTCCATGGATGGCAAGTTGGTGCTATTTATCCAAGGATAGATAGCTGAGTCTGAGGGCCTGTGGCCTCCTTTTCTCTCTGTGCAGATTGGGCTTCCTCATAGAATGGTGACTGGGTTTCTAGGACAATGTCCTAAGAGAGAGCACAAGATAGAAAAACATGGCATTATGATGATGTAGTCTTGGAAGTCCCATATCCCCAGGTCTGCCTCTCACTTGTGTTGGGTCTTTAGCAAACTGACATCACCCTAACCCCCAGAAAGGCATCTTCCCAAATAACATGTTTCTCTGCATCCATTCGTTTAGTCAACAAGCATCCCTGAATGCCTCTAGCACAAGAGTTAGAACTCTGCTTTGGAGTCCAATTGCTCGAGTATCCAGCTTTTCCTACTTGCTTGCTGATGAAACTAAGGAGATTTATTCAATCTCTCTTTGCCTCAGTTTTATTAAACGTAAACATCAGGATTTAAGGAAGTCCAGAAAACTTCTCATGCACCTAATAAGACCACTAATTTCTACCCTTGTACTACTACCAGCTCAGCCCCATTTCCTAAAAAAAAATCAATCCCAAAGAAGGGAGGTAAAATCAGAATTAATGGCCTACTGGGGGACCTGGCTGTCTCAGTTGGTTAAATGTCTGACTCTTGATCTCAGATCAGGTCTTGATCTCAGGATTGTGAGTTCAAGCCCCCCATTGGGCTCCATCCACACTGGACATGGAACCTACTTAAAAAAAAATAATAATAATTAATGGCTTTCCTTCTCCAAAAAGACTGCCAAACATTTTATCTCCACAAGAGGTCCAAGACCTATATGATATCCATTACTAAGAACTCCTATTCCCCTATGTTTCTATATAACCCTGAATTTAACTCAAGCTCTCATCTCTTACCATGACTACCACCCCTGCCCCAGCAAAGCACCGAACTCTTCTATTTTTCCCTTTGCAATTCATGGTCATGATCAGAAAAAACAAAACAAAACAAACAAAAAAACCCCACTATTTTCTAAGCAATCTTCTCACCTTATTTCTCTAAAGGAAAATGGTTTCCTAAAGCTCTTTCCTGTGATAGTTGTTTTGTTTTTTTACCACCCTATGTAGTAAAGGGCTTTGTGGTAGGATAATTGTCTTTCTTGTTCTTTCTTACTGTGTCTAAATTATTTCTTCTCTCACCATCCCCAAATCCAATGTTCTCTGAAGCAAATGTAATAAGACTATACTGCCTACATCCCTTCATAACACAATCATGCATCAATACCCTGCTTTTTCCTTACCCTTCACATGAGACTTTAGCACTTGCCTCATTCAATAGGTTTTCCTCTACTACTATACCTGTCACTATGTTATCGGGTTTTACCACACATACAGATAATCCATCCACTATCCTGGCTTCTAACAATAAATTCTCCTTACCTCTTCCAACAATCTTGTCTTTTATCCCATCTCTACCATCCCCTCTTACAGCCATATTTTGGATCCTATATCTTTTCAGCTTACTTCCTTTAGCACTGGGTCCAATAATTCTCCAGTTCCTCAAGAATTTTATCCACTTTTCTTAAAATTCCAATCTTCCTACTTCTTCCTTCCTTACCTTGCTAGGTAGGATTCTACAGTCCATTACTAATTACCACTCCTTTGCATATTTTTTCAACAACTTGAACTTTGCTACCTATGGATGAGTTTTTATTGGTGCCACAACAAATCACTACAAATGTAGTGGTTTGAAACAACACTCATTTGTTTATCTCACAATTCTATAGGTCAGAGCCTGGTGGGCTCTTACCTGGAGCCTCTGAGGAATCATCCACTTCTAAGCTCATTTACATTGTTGGCCAAACCCAGTTCCATGCAGTTGCAGGACTGAGGTCCCATTTCTTTGCTGGCTGTTGGCTGGGAGCCACCCTTAGCCCCTAGAGGACACTGTCTGGTCCTTGCATGTGGACCACTACATTTCAGAGCCAAGTTCTGTTGAATACTTCTCATACTTTGAATTTCTCTGATCTCTTCTTCTGCCTCTTTGCTTTTAATGGTTCATGTGATTACATTGAGTCCACCTGAATAATGCAGGATAACCTCCTTATCTTAAAGTCAGCTGATTAATAACCTTACATCTTCAAAGTCCCTTTATAGTAGGACCTAGATTAGTGTCTGATGGAATAACTAGAGGATGGGATCTTGGAGGGACATCTTTAAAATTTTGCCTACCACCATCCATGTAATTTTTACATGATAAACTCTAACTCTGTTTAAACCTGGCTCTTAAACCCTTTCTTCAGCCTCTCAGTATGGCTGAAGAAAAACATTCAATGTTCTAATGGGGACATTCTGAATTTGTGATGGAAAACCTCAAGTAGGACTCAGCACAATCCAACAATCATTTTGTATTTCCCTAGGAGGAATCAGCATATAGAAGATGTTTAAAACATTGGGACCAATGAGCTCAACTATAAACAGAATATTGATAGAAAACAGAAGAGAGCTGATGACAGTCCTGAGGAAGTCCAATTTTAGAGGTCAGGAAGAAGGAGAATCAAGCAAAAGAAACTGAAAAAGAACAGCCACAAGTACAAGTAGAAGAAAACTCAGGAGAGTATAGTGATCTAGCAGATAAATAAAGTGTCTTAAGAACAAGGGATTCATCAACTGTGTTAGATGCTGCCGAGAATTGGGAATTGTTCATTGGGTTTGGCATAGTGGAGGTCCATGGTGACCTTGAGAAGCAGAGTATCTGTAAATGGTAGGAGCAAAGCCTGACTTGGATGAGTTGAGGAGAAAATAGTTATTGGGGAAGTAAAGTTAGCAAGAATAAACAACTTTCTAAGGAATTTTGCTATAAAGATGAACACAGAAATGGGGCAATGCTATAGGGTTTCATGGAATTTAAGAGCAGAGAAAGATTTGTTGGGAAGCAGAGGGGGGCATTTGTAATGACTACTAGTTGGTGTGAAAATCCAAGAGTCCACTTAGGGGGTGCCTGGGTGGCTCAGTCATTTTAAGCATCTGTCTTTGGCTCAGGTCATGATCCCAGGGTCCTGGGATTGAGGCCCGCATTGGGCTCCCTGCTCAGCGGAAAGCCTGCTTCTTCCTCTCCCACTCCCCCTGCTTGTTTCCCTCTCTTGCTGTCTCTCTCTCTCTGTCAAATAAATAAATAAAATCTTAAAAAAAAAGAATCCACTTAGAAAATTTTAATTTCAGCTTTTCACTGTTAATATTTCCAAATTATTGAATGCAGGGATACTTCCTTAGGTTTTTATGCATTACTGGACAAGCTCTAGCACAGTGTAGGGTAAGAAGGCTATAACATATCAAATTGTACCTGAGAGCCATACATCTTCACCACAACAAAGTCCAGGGAGGATTTTTTTTAAATGGGAGATATTTCTGCATTTTTGTACAGTGATGTTAGTGATGTAGTAAAGAGAGAAAAAGGGTGCAGAGGAGAAAGTATAATTGCAATTGGAAAGTCATAGAATAGGAAGAGGGGATGAAATTGAGAGCATTCTGGGAGGCTAATATTAAATTAAAGCAAGGAGTGAAATAGGAGCAGGGAAGCTGAGTATATTCATGAAAATGCAACAGATAACTAGATTTTATAATGGGGAAATACTGTAGTTTTCTTCTGATTGCTTTGAATCTTCCTCCCAGTGAAATAAGAGTTGAAGTTATCATCTGGATGTAGAGTATGAATAGGGTTTTGAGGATCAGAAAAACATGTGAAATGCCAGCCATCTGGGGCAGTAGAAGCAACCCATCCCAGTCAGGCTTTGCCCCAACCATTTACTGATATTCCACTTCTCAAGGTCACCATGGACTTCCACTATGCCAAACCCAATGAACAATTCCCAATTTTTGGCAGCATCTGACACAGTTGATGAATCCCCTGTTCTTAAGACACCTTCTTATTGGGGCACCTGGGTGGCTCAGTCAGTTAAGCGTCTGCCTTCGGCTCAGGTCACGATCCCAGGGTCCTGGGATCGAGCCCCACATCGGGCTCCCTGCTCGGCGGGAGGCCTGCTTCTCCCTCTCCTGCTCCCCCTGCTTGTATTCCTTCTCTTGCTGTGTCTCTCTCCGTCAAATAAATAAATAAAATCTTTAAAAAAAAAAGACACCTTCTTATTTATCTTCTAGGTCACTATACTCTCCTGGGTTTTGTTGTACTTCCCTTTGGCTGTTCTTTTTCAGTTTCTTTTGCTTGATACTCCTTCTTCCTGACCTCTAAACATTGGACTTCCTCAGGACTCAGTCATCAGCTCTCTTCTGTTCTCTATCAACATTCTATAGTTGAGCTCATTAGTCCCAATGTTTTAAACATCTTCTATATGCTGATGGCTCCCAATTCTAAATTTCTAGTTCTGACATATCCCTTGAGCATTAAACTCATTTACCAATTGCTTACTCAACATCTCCACTTGGTTGTCTAATAAGGTTCTCAAAATTAGTATGTCTAATATAAAACTCATGCTCCTCTCCATTTCCTCTCTCCCCTCCCCACCACAATTCACTTCTCTGCTTCATCTTCGTCAATATTACAACAGTTCACCTACCTGCTCAGATCAAAACTGTATTAGTCAGGGTTCTTCACAAAGCATAACCAGTAAGATACGTAAACATATAGAAAAGATGTATTTTAAAGAATTATTAGCTCATGCAACTGTGAGGGCTGGCAAGTCTAAAATCTGCAGGAAAGGCCAATAGGCTAGAGACTCAGGGAGGGGTTGATGTTGTAACTTAAGTCCAAATGCAGTCAGGAGGCAGATTCCTTCTACCTTAGGGGACCATAGTCTTTGCTCTTAAGGCCTTCAACTGATTGGAGCATACCACTCACACTATGAAGGGTAATCTGCTTTATTCAGAATCTACTGATTTAAATGATAATCATATTAATCATGTTAATGTTAATCTAAATTAAATTAAAATTTAAATGTTAATTTAAAAAGTTTCTTCACTACAACATCTAGCCAAGAGGACATAAAATTAACCATCACGGTCCACCTCTTGTCAACTTGACATCCATATGCATCTTCTTAAACTATATTTAATCTCCAAATAAAGACCATAATAAGGTCATAATTCTAACATGATACAGATATCCTGTGTACAGCCAAAACACACTCATATTTTCCCTAGAAAAGGATGCAAAGTGCTTAGGTGATAATTCAGTTTTCTTCTTGATATCTTGTAATTAAATCCTATGATATAAAGTGAATACATCTTATATGATAAAGAGATAAAAGGGGAAAAAACAAAGATATTATATATACATATGTCATATATATTCATTTACATATATATACACATATATACATACATATATATCCATATAGATATAGATATAAATATAGATATAGATATATACATATATATATCATCTTTGGTGTCTATGCAGAGCTTGTGTCCAACCATCCTCAAAAAGTCATTATTTTCAGTTCTTCCTCATAGGAGGCCTGTAGGCAGCAGCCATGACCCCCAGCTGGAATGGCATGATACTGAGGCCCCACTTCCACATGGCAGGGGCACATGGCCACGTGGTTCAACCAGCTGGCACCAGGAGATTCACAGACATGAGGCCTGGCAAGCCAAGGCATGCTGCATTACCCTGTGCCTAGCATGCGGGCCCACCTAGCCCATTGTAAAGTGTCCCACAGTAAGGTATCACACCAAAGTGCGAGCTGGCAGGGGCTTCAGCTTGGAAGAGTTAAGGGTGGCTGGCATCCACAAGAATGTGGCATGGGTCACTGGGATCTCAGTGGATCCAAAAAAGTAGAACAAGTCAATGGAATCCCTACAGTCCAACATGCAGCAGCTGAAGGAGTACCACTCCAAGCTCATCCTCTTTGCCGGGAATCCGTCTGTCCCCAAGAAGGAAGACAACTCTGATGAAGAACTCAAATTGGCTACCCAGCTAACAGGACTGGTCATGCCTCTGGGGAATGTCTAGAAGAAGGAGAAAGCCAGAGTCATTACAGAGGAGGAGAACTATGTCAAGGCCTTCACCAGTCTTGGCGTGGCCAGTGCCAATGTCTGGCTCTTTGGCATCTGGGCAAAAAAGGCCAAGGAAGCTACAGAACATCATGTTGAAAAGAAAAAATAAAGTGCCATTGGCCACTTGTAAGAAAAGAAAAGTCATTATTTTATTTTTCTCAGTGTTCAGTCATCTTGATAAAACACCAAATATCCCTCTGGAATAGACTGGGAGAAACAATAGCAGTATACATTTTTGGCAGTGTAGTAGGGTCCTTTTTCAAGGGGAACTGACCTCCCCTTCATTCAGTTCAAGGGGTCCTGAGTCTAAACTGGCTCAAGTTTAGGAATTAATTATGGGTCTGTGACTCTCTGCTTTTATGATTCAAATTTGACTTCTGTTCCTTTGACCTAGAACTCTCTGCTTACACAAATTAAGAATTTAGTAGACTTACCATGCATTTTACTCCTAGAAATATCATGATTAGCTAGCCAGTGCCGTAGCTCTCTGCAAGTCATAATATTCTAATTGCTGCTTTGATTCTGCTATCCATTAGAGCAACCATGACCACCTTGCCTTTGGTGATTAAATAGAACCACTTGGCCTTTGACACCTTGGGATTCAATTACTTCCACGGCATTTAGGTTTTCCAAGTCAGTGACAGCTGTTCCCACTATAATTTCTGACCTATAGAGAAAACAATCACAGAGTTCTTCAAGAATGTTGGGCCTCTCCTCACAAACTTACTGGTCATAGTCATATTGAAAAGTATGTCCTCTGTACCCTCCTAGGGTGGATGAGGAGATCTTAAGTGATAAATCCATTCTAACATTCCAATCTCCCTAAGCCTTTGAATCTCTTCCTCTGTAGTTTATCAAAGCAGTTCTGGCATTTCAGTTCATTTAGTGTAGACCACCTGTTTGTTCGTGTTTCAGGTAGCCAACCAACCAATCCGTTAGAGCTCTTTCTAATCCCCTAAGCTGCAACATTAAATCCAGATCTCTGCTTATCAATAAATTCTGCCTGATCCAATTTTATGGCCCTTCCACCACTATGCCACACCTTTAAATATTGACTCCCACCCATATTTCCTGGATTTCTGCTTATAAAAATTGGAAAAATCATGTAGTTCTTGTGGAGTATACTACACCTCTTTATGGGTCACATTTTGTATGTCACCATTAGGGGTCTACAGGAACTTGAGTCCAGTGATAGATCTAGAAGCAAAGACAGTGGTGGGCGTGGTCCTGAAGAGAATCATCAGTGTCTTGCAAGGCAACTACCTCAGGGGAGACCATTATAATTTCTTTAGGCAGAGCAAGGTTAATCTCCTCAGATGAGGATGAAGTGGCTGCTTCTACTGGCAAAGAAGACTCATGGGAGTTAAAGTGTTCAATGTCCCCAGCTTTATCAGGATCTTCCCATATTCCAATTTTCAGGATCTCATTCCTTCCCAATTTATGCCCTCACTTTAATAGCAGACACCCTGTGAGGTTGAAAATTCAATTTGCATTGTAATTCAACCACTTGCAGGATGAGACTCTGAGTTTGTTTCCAGCACTCTCAGCTCTTTGCTACAGGTGATAAGGGTTTCTTTCAGGACAGAATAGAAACTTTCAGGTCATTAACGTGGCATATGAGCTGGGAATTTGATTCCTAAACTCATCCTTCTTTTTCCTTGCTTGGTCCAGTGCAATTAGGAGCAACTAGCCAAAATCATACTCATTATTTTGATAAAAATGTTCTAAAATATTAAATACATGGTCACTCAGAAACTTACCTCATAAGTATTTGATTAGGAGTATCCGATGGTGATACTTTTGAATCTCTATTGTCACATCACACCACAGACTATCCGTGTTCTCTTCACCAATGGAAGTAGTCATTAGTGCTTTTGAATCTAATAAGATTAGAGAACCAATTTCAAACACTGGGCACACATAAAATCAAGCATTATAAAAACCTACAAGTCATCCTCGGTGTCTTTCACTCTTACTACATTAGATCCATCAGCTCCACTTTCAGAGTATATCCTGCCTCTTATCACTTATCATATTCAATATTATTGCCATCCTCATCAAAGCTATCATCATCTCTCACCTACACTCTTTATGCTTTCTTTGCTTTCATTCTGCCTCCTACCCCACTGGCCCCTTACCCTCTGAGTCCATTATTTATGCTGCAACCAAAATGTTTTATTTAAGACATAATTAATCATTTCACTCACCAGCCCCAAAACACCAGTGGCCCCATCAAACTCAAAATAAAACCCAGACTTCCTATTGCTGTTTACAACTCTATGTAGTCTGACCTTGCCTCTTTCTCTTTGATTTTATTTCCATATTCACCAGCATTTTTACAAATTCCCTAATGTCCAACTGAAGGTGTTTTTGTTCCTTTTGCCTGGAAACCTCCCTTCCCCAATTTTCTTATGGCTCCATTTAGATCATTGCTCAGGAGTCATCTCTTTAAAGTCCTTTCAGGATCACTCTATTTAAATTAACTTCATTATACATTATTCTCTTACTCTTATTAACATTTCTTCATTACTCTTATCACTGTATAGCATATCACCTATGTATTTGTTTAATGTCTGCCTTCCTAACCAGAATAAAACCTCCAAAAGGACAGGGGCTTGCCTGCCTTGTGTCCTGCCAAATCCCAAGACCCTAGAACTACCTCTAATGTGCAGTAATGCACAATCATATTTAACAAATAAATGAATAGTATTTATAGAGTACCCTAAGGTTAGTAGTCATAAGGTTGTTTAGAGGGTTAAATTTGATAATATACATATGCCAAAGACTGCTAATAATCTTCTAATGTCAATTCTTCCTTCCTTCTTTCCTGAGAATCCCCAACTTTTATTTAGTCACATGGCTTCCCAGAATAAAGACTCCATTTCCATCCCTTCCACATGGTGATGCTGAGCCAGTACCCACACCTGGTATCAGGCTGCAACCTCTGTTGTTCTTGCTACCTCCTGACCTCCCATTGCCTCTGGACCATGGATCCCCACAGAGTGAATGAGCTTCAGGCCTTGGTGAAAATGTGTAAGCAGGATCCGATCATTCTGTACACCAAGGAAATGTGCTTCCTGTCAGAGTGGGTGGAGAGCATGGTGGGTAAAATGTCACATGCTGCTCATAAAACTAAATCAGAAGACAATATGAAGGAAGAAAAAACAGTAATAAGGTGGAGGAAAACATAAAGACAGACGAACCATCAAGTGAGGAAAGTGGTCTAGAAATTGACAATGAAAGTGTGATTGAACTCTCCTGATCCCCTCAAGAAATGGGAGATGGGTGCCTGCGTGGCTGTTGGTTAAGCGACTGCCTTTGGCTCAGGTCATGATCCTGGAGTCCCAGTATCAAGTCCCACATCCGGCTCCCCGCTCAGTGGGGAGTCTGCTTCTCCCTCTGACCCTCCGCCTTCTTGTGCTCTCTCTCACTCTCTCTCTCAAATAAATAAAATCTTTTTTTTTTAAAGATTTTATTTATTTATTTGACAGAGAGAGACACAGCAAGAGAAGGAACACAATCGGGGGAGTGGGAGATGGAGAAGCAGGCTTCCCGCTGAGCAGGGAGCCCGATGTGGGGCTTGATCCCAGGACCTGGGATCATGACCTGAGCCGAAGGCAGATGCTTAATGACTGAGCCATCCAGGTGCCCCTCAGATAAATAAAATCTTAAAAAAAAAAAAGAAATGGGAGATGAAAATGTAGAGCTAACCGAGGAAATGATGGATCAGGCAAATGATAAAAAATAGTGGCTGCCATTGATGCCCTAAGTGATGGTGAACTACAGAAAGCCATTGACTTGTTCACAGGGGCCATCAGGCTGAATCCTCTCTTGGCCAGTCTGTATGCCAAGAGAGTCAGTGTCTTCATCAAATTACAGAGGCCAAATGCTGCCATCTGAGACTGTGACAGAGCTATTGAAATAAATCCTGATTCAGCTCAGCCTTATGAGTGGCGAGGGAAAGCACACAGACTTCTGGGCCATTGGGAAGAAGCAGCACATGATCCTGCCCATGCTTGTAAACTGGATTATGAAGAAGATGCTCATGCATGCTGAAAGAAGTTCAACCAAGGGCCCTGAAAATTGCTGAACATGTGATAAAGAATGAGCAAAAATGTGAAGAGCAGGAAATCAAATAAAGAATAGAAAGGGTTAAGAAGGCTTGGGAAGAACAGGAGACAGCCCAGAGAGAGGAAGAAGCCAGAGGACAATCAGGAGCTCCGGATGGCTCTTTCCCAGGTGACTTTCCTGGAGGATTGCCTGGAATGGAAGGGGGCATGCCTGGAGTGGCAGGGATGCCTGGGCTCAATGAAATTCTTAGTGATTCAGAGATTCTTACAGCCAGGCAGGATCCAGAAGTTACGGTGGCCTTCCAGCATGTGGCCCAGAAACCAGCAAATATGTCAAAATATCAGAGCAACCCAAAGGTTATGAATCTCATTAGTAAATTGTCAGCCAAATGCCCCTCTGACAAATAAAGCCCTTGCTGAAGGAAGAGCAACTTTGATCACCTAATGGACATCACAGTAATTCAAACAAGTGTACCTCTGAACTTCTCATGGAGAAAGCTAGGGTACTGTGAAGATAATCCCTACCCTCTGCCCCACATGCAACTGAAACACTTTATAGTGGTTTACCATTAGGGTAATGGTAATGTTCTCTTACTATGAATTACAAACTTTAAACACTTTTAAACCTTCAAAATATTTAAAAACAATTTAAAAGTATATGTTAATTCCTACAATTTTTATTTTATTTATTTATTTTTACTAATCATTTCAGTTTTTTTCCTTTGGATTAATTGGGCAAGGAAGATACTTCAGTATGGAAGATTTATTGCTTAGAGGGAAATAAAGGTTTATTAGTGGGAGGCAAATATAACATTTAAATATACAAAGTTTGAGTTGAATATATGGTTTCTGAGGCATTTTGACTTGTCTTTTAAAATGCTTTATTTATTTTTTTTTTAAGATTTTATTTATTTATTTGACAGAGAGAGACACAGTGAGAGAGGGAACACAAACAGGGGGAGTGGGAGAGGGAGAAGCAGGCTTCCCGCGGAGCGCGGAGCCCGATGCGGGGTTCGATCCCAGGACCCTGGGATCATGACCTGAGCCGAAGGCAGACGCTTAACGCCTGAGCCACCCAGGCGCCCCTTGGGACTCTGCATTGCATTTTATTTTATTTATTTATTTATTTATTTTTAAAGATTGATTTATTTATTTATTTATTTATTTATTTATTTATTTATTTATTTGACAGAGACACAGGGAGAGAAGGAACACAAGCAGGGGGAGAGAGAGAGGGAGAAGCAGGCTCTCCACTGAGCAGGGAGCCCGATGCGGGGTTCGATCCCAGGACCCCGGGATCATGACCTGAGCCGAAGGCAGACGCTTAACGCCTGAGCCACCCAGGCGCCCCTTGGGACTCTGCATTTTATTTTATTTTATTTTATTTATTTTTTTTTAAAGATTTATTTATTTATTTATCTGACAGAGAGAGACATAGCGAGAGAGGGAACACAAGCAGGGGGAGTGGGAGAGGGAGAAGCAGGCTTCCCGCGGAGCAGGGAGCCCGGATGTGGGGCTCGATCCCAGGACCCCGGGATCATGACCTGAGCCGAAGGCAGATGCTTAACCGACTGAGCCACCCAGGCGCCCCATGCTTTATTTTTTTAAACATGATTTATTTCAATAAAACCATTGGGACTGCCAGTATTGCAGTAGGACCTGGATTGGTACTAGAAGTACTTGGTGGGGCAGCAGCAATCTTACTGCTACTTTTATATAGCATGTACCCTTGTGCAGATGCATTTAAATCTTACACTGTGGTGAAGGGATGATTTTTATAATGCTGCAGTGGAATTGGATTACTTAGCCGTGCTCTTGTCTGATATAGAAAATAAACGTTTCACATTATTTCCACAAAAAAAGACTCCATTTTCCACCATGCCTTTCAGTCAAGATTGATCATGTGACTAATTCCAGCCAATATGGCATAAGCAAAGTTCCACCTGAAACTTCTGAGAAGAGATCTTAAAAGAAGCGAGTGGAGAAGAGGAGTTTGCCCCCCTTCTCTTTCTCTGTTGACAGCGATTTAGGTATGATGGGTCTCCAGAAGCTCTAACATCCATCTTGAAGCATGAGATGACCTTCAGAATAGAGGCTGACAATGGAGGATCACAAGATACAAAGAGCCTGGATTTTTGCTACCACAGAGTGACATTACGTCCAGACCTACTGCCTCTGAACCTCTTGAATGTGAACAAAAAGTAGAACACTTTCATTTTTAATTCATTGTTATTTTGAGGTTTTCTGTTTCTTGCAACCACACCTACTCCTAACATTTTTAACATGTAAATTAACCAAGACAAACTTTGGATCATAATAAACCCTCAAAAATATTATCTTTTACTTGGCATTATCATCATTGCTTTATTTTTTTTTTTTTCTGTTTCTGTATCTCCTTGTTAGCATTGTGGTTGTTGTTACATGCTATGTACTATACCAAATTTTAGGGATATGGACAAGAATAAGATAGAGCTTTGAGTTAAAGGACATTGTGGTTTGGGAGCATAGAAATAAAATTACAATACAACATGTAATGTGCTTTAATGTTTTAATAAAAACATGCTATGGGAACACATAGGAAGAAGAGCATAAGTCTTCCAGGAGGAGTAGAGGCAGATTCATTGCCGAGGACATAAATCTTGAAACAATATGTAAATATGTGTAGTGACTATCATGAGGACAGAAGGTTGGGAGGGAGAGAGAAAAGCAAGAGGAATGACTGCATATGGGTTTCCCTAATTGGTGAGCAGGAGTAATTTGGATCTTACAAAAAAAAAAAAAGAGAGAGAGAGAGAAGAAAAAGAAAAAAAAAGTTTTGTTTTGTTTCATTTTGTTTTTTTGTTTGTTTGTTTTTGCCTCTAAGAAAGCCAAGTCTCTTATCTTACCCAATACTTCATTGCAAATGTGAGGTCACTGTATTAAAAACAAACAAACAAACAAACAAAAAACATTAGCATCAAGGAGTTTGAATAAAAGATAAGTTAATATCTTAGAAAGCAAAGAGGTGATTTCCAGATGGAACTTATATAACCACGACTATTAAAATAAATCATAATGACATATCTTAGGTTGAAATTATTGGGGGATAGAGGTGGGGGGAAGAGGTGAGGAGGTGTCAGGACAGAATATACAAATGTATAAAATTAGAAAGTTCCTCTGAGTGGAAGATAGCCACTTAAGGTTCTTAAGGCAACAATTTTTAAAGTAGTTTCTAAAAATTACACTCTAAGTATTCCCTAGTCTATTCCTTATATTGACAAGCAATAAGGAGCTTAGGATGTGTTCATTTGACTTTCATTTTCAGGGCAATTTCTGTATAAATTTCAGAATCCTCATCCTGCCTCCACTGGATGTTTTTATAGTGCAAGTCAGAGGGTAAGGGAAGGAGCACTAAGATAACAAAACAAGGATGGACAGTTTGAGATTTCCTCCTTAAGACAACCTCACTGCTGTAACCTCAACACTTGTGCTGATTCCTAATTTGGACCCTCAGAATTCTTGACCTTGTCCATTTAACCTCCTAAAACTAAGCTGACCTTAAATTTGCTCCTGAAATTTCCCATACCTCTAACACTAGATTTAGCATGTGCTCACAGCTTCTCTAATACGGACTCTTGATTTTTTTTATCTTAATACTCTCTCCCATTGGCAAATTATTTTAAATGTAATTTTTAACATGCCTTAGAGTCAAGTGCATTTCTATACAAACAACACACCTCTGAAAATACAATGGAAATCTATTGAAAACTATTAGTTGATCTATAAAAGTCTGATTTACAGATTTTAAATGTCAAGAATGACTGTAAAATAAAAATGAAACAAAATAAACAAAGCAAACCAACAAAAATACTCCACAAGGCAACTCTTAAAGGAATTGATTTCTGGGACTGAAGAGGAAAAGGAAAATAACATTTGCTTAATACGAATCTATTATAATGTATCCTTCACTTCAGCTTCTCTTTGCCACACTCTAAAGCAGCAACCCTCTTTACTGACCGTATAATTCAAATCTTTCTTTGGAGAAATATGCAATAGTTGGTAATCACATGCATTCTAAAACATCTCATTTTATGCCACCCAAATGCATGATTTACTCTGAATGATAAATATGGCTATGAAATGGAGTGTTTCCGGCATTCACAGATCGAATGTAACTAGGGAGAGATAACTCAGATGCATCCTGATGTTTTATATTTCCACGCACTAATATTTGCTT